ACAAAATAGTAATAGACATACTCTCATCTTTCACTTTGAAATCAGAGAGTGTCTGGGGTTGGGTTTACAGACCTACTTTCCAGCCCTGACTGGACCTTTGCCATTTCCTTACTATTGTAACCTTATATATGTACACATATATACTTATATATTGTAACGTGTGTGTGTGTGTATGTGTGTAAAATAATGTGAACATTTCTGTATAAAAGTGGTAATTTACCCCAGAGTTCATTTAGAGGTCCATAATATAATACTGCAGGGTCTTAAGAATGGCTACCATAGGCCATCCCATAATAAGTCCAGGCCAGTCTTAGGAATTCGAAGGTTTGATGGTGGACATTAGCCCATCTTTCCTACAACCTTTCTCCTAGCCTGCCTTCTTTTCTGCCTGGCTGTCTTCTATATGCAGTCAGTGTGGGCTTCCCAAAACACAGCCCTGTTTCATGTACATCCCTTGCAAAAATATCTTTAATAACTCCCTGTGGCATTCATGAAGGTGTGAACTCAGTAGGAACAAAGGRGGGGATGAATGTGAGAAAACTTGTGCAGGTAAAATTACAGAAACTAGAACCTGATGTTATATGCAGTTAAGCTCTTGCTGGCTATGCTGTGCCCTGGCTTAGAACTGAGCAATAATAATATAACAGTGAGCTCCTGATGATGTAGATCAGTCCAGACAAATCTAGGCCATCATGGAAAAGCAAGTGAGATGTCCAGAGGGACACTGGAATCAGCTTTCTTTCTCTGTTCACCCAAAACAACACCTTTGAAGAGCCCTGGGATTTTCCTTAATTAGAAAAGCCTTCTAGGACTTCAGGGAAGTTCCTCTCCTCTCTGTTGGAAAATTTTAGCCTCTCCCCATTGCATTCAGACTTTAGAATTCTTCACAACTCAACTGCAGTGCTGTCACAGTGAGAAGTCCTGTTGTTGTATTTGGCCATGGGCGTGGTGGGCTATGAACAAGAGAGAACAAGGCCCTGCACCTTGATGACTGATCTCTCTAGAAATTAGCACCCTGGTCTGGTCACCATTGTTAAAAACTTTACTAATACAGCTGGGTGTGGTGGCACATACCTGTATTCCCAGAAACTTGGGAGGAGGGTGAGGCAGGAGGACTGCAAGTTCCAGAACAACCGCTGCGACTTAGAAGACCTTGTCTCAAAATAAAAAATAAAAAAAGTTTGGGATGGGCTGGGGCTATAGCTCAGTGGCAGAGCGCTTGCCTAGCATGTGTGAAGCACTGGGTTCTATCCTTAGCACCGCATATAGAACTAAACAAATAAAGGCATGCTGTCCATCTACAACTATTAAAGAAATTTTTTTTAAGGTGGGGTGGGGATATAGCTGAATAATAGAACACCCCTGGCTACCCCTTCCCACCACCTCTGCAAAACAAACAAACAAAAAACCAACTTCAGAGGATGTGTTTAAAAGATCTGGGCTCTATGCTATCTGCCTGTGTGACTCTGGAAGACATTCTCAATCTCTCACGGCTTTATATTCTGTCCACACAAAATGAAGAACCAGGACAAAAATCTCTTTCTCTCTCCCACCCCACCCCCCATCTTCCTCTCTCCCCAGCACTGGGGCTCAGACCCTGGGKAAATTAATGTTTATTGAATGTTTAAATATGTGTCACAGATTTACATATWGTATTTTGTTCAATTCTCAGAACATCCGTTCGAGATCAGGTCTATTGTCAGTAAAACTAGCCWTGTGAATGGAATATTTGTGTGTCTTCCCCGTGCGAGTGCAAACTGGGTTCCTGTTGTCTTCGGCTGCTAGAGACCATTCCAGATGCTCTGGCAGCCCGTAGGCTGTTGGCTCCTAGATAGAGGTGGCTTAAGACATAAGTAGAGACAGATTTTTTTTTCTTCCCCCGCTTTTTGTTTGTTTGTTTGTTTTGTTAGGTGTTGGGGATTGAAACCAAGGTCTGAGCATGCACTTTATCACTCAGCTACATCCCCAGTGCCCATTTTCTCTTTAAAAAAGTATTTCTGTCAATAGTAAGACTAAATAAATCTCCATTTATTAGGACAATATGGCATTGTCTCAGGGGCTGGGGTTGTGGCTCAGTGGTAGAGCGCTTGTCTAGAACGTGCAAAGCCCTGGGTTTGATCCTCAGCACCACAAAAAAAATAAATAAATAAATAAAAATAAAATAAAGGCATTGTGTCCAACTACTACTAAAAAATAAATATTTTTAAAAAATATATGGCATTGTTTCAGGATAGACAAATTCTCCAAGGGAATAAAATAAAGACTACAGGAATAGATCCACATATCTATTGACACTTAGGACACTTAGTATATGACAAAGGTGATACTGCAGTACAGTGGTACTCCGTCATTTGGGCTGGATGATTATGAGGGAAAAAAAAATGATTTTTTTTTTTTTTATACCAGGGGTTGAACCTCAGGGACACTTAACCACTGAGACACATCCCTAGCCSTTTTTTGCATTTTATTTAAAGACAGGGTCTCACTGAGACTGTCTCTGAACTCGAAATCCTCCTGCCTCAGACTCCTGGAATTACCAGCACCTCTTCACCTGGCAAAAAGTGACTCTTGATTCCTGTTTCATACTATAAACAAAAATCGCTTAAAAATGGATTATAGGCTGAGGGTGTAGTTTAGTGGTAGAGCATGTGCTTAGTTTGCACAGGTCCCTAGTTTCAATCACAAGCACGAAAAAAAAAATAGCAATCATAGATCTAAGTGTAAATGTTAAAATAAAGCTGCTAGAGCCAGGTGCATTGCCACATGCCTGTAATTCCAACAGCTAGGGAGGCTGAGGCAGGAGAATTGTGAGTTCAAAGCCAGCCTCAGCAACAGGGAGGTGCTAAGCAACTCAGTGAGACCCTGTCTCTAAATAAAATACAAAATAGGGCTGGGGATGTGGCTCAGTGGTCGAGTGCCCCTGAGTTTAACCCATGGTACCCGCCCCCCAATAAATAAATAAATAAAGCTGCTAGAAGACAAAATAGAAGAATATCTATACATAGTGACATAAAGTCACTATAAACATAAGAAAAAATTAATAAATTGGACTACATTAAAATAAGAACATTCATCAAGATACAAAATAGTAAAAAGGAAAGCTAGAGAGAAAGCAAAGATATTTGCATATACATGCAAGTGATTATGCCTAGACTATATGAAGAACTTGTATAAATCAATAAGAGAAAGACAACTCAATTTTTTTTAAATATTTATTTTTTAGTTTTTGGCCGACACAACATCTTTGTTTGTATGTGGTGCTGAGGATCGAACCCGGGCCGCATGCATGCCAGGCGAGCGCGCTACCGCTTGAGCCACATCCCCAGCCCCTGACAACTCAATTTTTAACATGAACAAGTGTTTAGTTCAGTGGTAGAGCACATGCTTAGCATTTGCAGGGCCTTGAGTTCAATTCCTAGCAACCAGAAAATAAAAATGGACAAAATACATGAGTAGGCAGGTAATAAAAGATAATATCCAAATRGCCATAAACATGAGAAGGTACTCAGGCTCAGTAAACATAAAGGAAATGTTTGTCAAAACCTCAATGCGGGCTGGGGTTGTGGCTCAGTGGTAGAGTTTTCACCTAGCATGCATGGGGCCTTGGGTTTGATCCTCAGCATCACTTAAAAATACATGAATGGAATAAAAATATTGTGTCCAACTACAGCTAAAAAAAATAAACATTTAAAATTTTAAAAACCCTCAGTGCATTACCACTACATATACACCAAAGTGACTAAAGTAAACAAACGAACCAGAAAGCCTTACTGTACTGTTTCCAAGTTTTGACAAGAATGCAGAGCAACTAGAACTCTCATACACTGCTGGTAGGGTACTAAATTGAAAACTACTTTGTAAAACTGTCTGAGACTATCTGTTAACAGTGAACATATGCATACTTTATGAGTCAGTATTTCAATTCCCATATATATTCCCAAGAAAAACACATATATACTTTCAATAAAAGATAAATACAAGGACTGGGGTTGTGGCTCAGTGGTAGAGCACTTGCCTAGCACATGCAAGGTGCTGGGTTTTATCCTCAGCACCACATTAAAATAAATAAATAAAATTTAAAAAAAGATAAATACAAGAACATTGGCAGCAATGCTGTTCATAATGGCCTCATGCTAGAAACAACCCACATTCCCACCAAGAGTAGAAAGRGTAAATACATTTTAGTATATCTGTACAGTGGACTAGATCATTGAGAAGGAAAGACCATTATTGTTTAATATAATGCATGACAAAATTTACAAACATAATGAGAGAAGCCAGACATAAAAGAGAATGTAGCATACCATTTCGTTTTCATGAAATTCAAAATTAGGTAAAATAACCATATGGTTATATAAATAGAAGAATGATTACCAATTTGGGAAAAGGAGGAGACCTTTTAGAGTACCAGAAAAGATCTGTTTATTGTCTAGAATACTGATCACACAGATATTTTCACTTTGTAAAAATTTATTAAGCTGTATACTTATTTATGCATTTTGGGGTACAAATGTTATGTTGCAATAATATCTTCCAAAATGTAGTAGATTTTTTTTTTGTTGTTCTTTTTCAATGGCTTGGATCAAATACAAGGCCTTGTGCATGCTAGGCAAGTAATCCCAAGCCCCCAATTTTTAAATATAGAAGAAAAGCAGTTAAAAAGGCTTCTTTTTCCCACTATAGCCTGGCCACCCAGTCCCCTCACAGGAAGCCAGTAATATAATTATTTTTGAACATCCCTAGAGATAATTTTTGGATATAGAAGCAAACAAGTGTATATGTAATTATACATACACGCAAATACATACATCTGTTTTCTCCCACCCACACTATGTGTGTGGCAATATTTTGAATACACTGTTCTACAGTGTGATTTTATCATTTAATTTATTTTAAAGGTCTTTCTATATTATTATATAAAAAAAATTCCTGCCAGGCATGTGGCACATCTTTATAATCCCAGCTATCTGGATGTTGAGGCAAGAGGATGTCAATGYAGTGAAACTCTGCCTCAAAATAACAATTTCAAAAAAGGAGCTGGGGATGCAGATTAGTGGTAGAATGCTYGCTTAGCGTGCCTGAGGCCCTGGGTTCAGTCCCCAGTGCTACAGACACAGAAAAGTTTCTTATTTCTTCTTATAGCTGCATTAATTTATTTAACAAGTCTCTTTTGATGCACATTTAGGTTAGATTATTTTCAGTTAAGAAGCATTCTTTATCCTGATCTATGGTGTGGTAAAGATCTTTTCCCAGGCCTCATTCTAACTTTTTAAAACAATCTGCACAAGTTGATATGTACTTAGGCAATACTTTATATGAAGGATAAAGGTAGAACTAAAATAATTATTCTACCTCTCAGTTCTCAGCAAGAAGGATGCATAGACAGTTGTGGAATCTAAGAACTAGGAGGTCTGCAAGAGAATGAATGCTGGGACTCCCTGCTGTTGACGTCTTCAAGATTTTGATGAATGCTAAGGATTCTCTTCTCAGAAAAATGTACATGTAAAATTTTGCATATATATTTTGGGGCTCAATTCATATACCTCTTAATTCATATATGAAGTCTAGGTTCTGAATCTTTTAATCTAGACTAGAGGTGTAGCTCAGTGGTAGAGTGCATGCTTAGCATGTATAAGGCTCTGTGTTTAATCCCCAGTACAAATCTGATATAAACACATCAAATTGAGAAACAGAACTAGAAATGGGAAGAGAGTCTCAAAACAAGGTAATGGCAGAAGACAGTCACATGTATTCTTGTTAAAATAATGCCAGTAATTTTCTCTCTCCTGATGTTGTTACCCAAACTGTTAAGGGAAGCCACCCATTCCTTCCCAAGAGAACTTCAGCTTGTAGGTAGGGTAATCTGAGAGAAAAATGGTGAACAATTTTATTTGAATGATTGAATTTTTAAAAAAGATCCAAATGGTATGATTGGAATTTCTTGTACAATACTTTGATTTATTTTCTTTCTCTTTTTGTTTTCTGTTCAGTCCAAGAAGAAGAAGGGAAAAGTGGAAGTGAGACCCATTAATTTGGGGACAGATTCTGAATATGGGGTTTTAAACATTCATTTAACTGCATACGACATGGCCCTGGCAGAGAATTATGCCCAGTATGTTCATAACCTCTGCAACCATCTCTTCATCAAAGTCGAGGAAAGGTATGAAAGGAGCCTTTGGGTGGATGTTTTTGATGTAGCATGCTCTATCTTTTTCATTTTTTTTTTTAAGAGAGAGAGAGAATTTTAATATTTTTATTTTTTAGTTCTCGGCGAACACAACATCTTTGTTTGTATGTGGTGCTGAGGATTGAACCCGGGCCGCACGCACGCCAGGCGAGCGCGCTACTGCTTGAGCCACATCCCCAACCCTCTATCTTTTTCATTAAATCACGTTTTTTGAGGAATAATTTACATGTAGTATAATCCCCCCCACACTTTTTTTTTTTGGTACTGAGGATTGAATTCAGGGGCACTCAACCACTGAGCCACATCCCCAACCCAATTTTTTTTTTTTTT